GTTTTAATCTTGGGATAAGGTACAGTGTTTGTTGTCCTTGTGTAGAAAGTTAAGATTATTTTAGCAATATTTGTTCCAACTGGAGGTATGGATCCTGGTTTTTTGATTCATTTTCTCAAACTGAACTGAATTTCAATCACCTCTGCTGCTTTCAAAGTTAAATTAAGTAAAGAAAGGTTAAATTCCTTTTATTAAAAGAAAATGAAATAAATCCCCAAAGAAAGTAGAGCTAGATTCTGGAAGAAGCACCACAGGCAGGTACTCCTTTTTTCGAAACAGTAGTCTTGTCCTTTGAGAGAGACCTTCCAGAGGAATGGTGAAGACTGCTATAAGACTTATCAGTAGAACATGAACGTATTTTTTCTTTTTTTTTTTTTTATTTGTTTGTATAGGGTTTTTTTAAGTAGTAGTTGTATAGGTTTTTTTTAAGGGGTTTTAAATTCTTTCTCTTGGCTAAAGTATAGTTAAAGTATTCAGCTTCATTATTCTTGCAACTTTGGCTACAGGTTACTTCCACTGCATTTCTTCCACTGCTGTACAGACAGACCTTAGTTACTATACTTCAGCAGTACCCCAAAAAAAGCCAATTAAAATAACCAACAGCAATGCTTTCCAAAATACCTACATGCAGACAGCTTCCCACTTTAAATACAGTACTACCAGTTCTCTGGAATAACTTGATGTTTGCGGAGGACCTGTTATGCTCCATGGATTTTACCTGAGGAAGATAAAAGGCTGGTTTTGGTCTCTCCTAACTTTTAAGGGTTTTCCTATCCATTATTTATTAAACTATGAGCTTTGGAATTGACTGGTAAAAGACCAGTTCTTTCACTGACATCGGTAAGCTTTGAATCATATTAAAGAATGATTTGGGTTATGAGTTCAAATTATCAAGCTGCATTGCATGAAAAAAAAAAAAAACAACCAAAACAAAACAGATTTTTTAAGTTAGATATCCATTTGCAGTTAAGGATAAAGTACTTCTGTGTATATGCAGATAATTGTCTGTGTGTTCACCTGCATTTTCAATTACAGCTGAAGACTTGGTCCAGTACTTTTACATTCAGTAGTGGTTCTTTTCTATCCTGAAGTTTTACTTGCCTTTCTCTCAACTGAGTAACTATATTTCAGCTACAAAACCAGTCATTTCATTGAGTATTTTTATTTCTTTAATGTGGTCTCTTTTAATATATAGGCAGCTTATTGTTGAAGAATACTAACAAGTATCTAACAAATATCACTCCTAAGAAAGTTTGTGCACATGCACATATGTAGATCTTGGAGTGTTCCCTGGTTCACACTTTAGGCCTTATCACTGCTATTAATAATTTGTATTGCACCACAAATGTACAAAGTGCAATCTTTGTGCTATATAGTCCCCGTACCTGTTTTTATTAGTATTTCTAAAGTAATTTGCAGTGTGTTTCTGTTTCATTAAAGTAATTGCTTTAAATTCTTTTCTGGTTGATACAGGCTGTGTATGCATCAAGAATAGTGAGTTGGGATTTAAACACTCCTGTGGCCAGAACCTGAATGGACATTCAGGACTGGTTTTTATCTCGCAAAAAGCTATTGACAGTTGGAGGTGATAATAGGCAATTTACTGTGTGTATTAATTATTATCAGTCACGATATATGAATAAAAGAGGATGAAAAGTCATGTTCTTCTGAGGGTGTAATCCTTGAAAGGTGAATTACTAGAGGGGAAGACAAAGAGGGTGAGAAAACAATGAAGGGGACCACAAAATAAAAGATGTCTTTTCACCTTGTAGTATATCTGAAATAGCAGTAAATAAAACATCATTCCATTGGGCCTCACTTCATTTTCTTAAAGCCATCTTTTGTAAAAGCTTGAAAGTTGATCAGGGCTCATGTTGCCTTCAAATGATCTGAAATTACTCTTGAAATATTTTTAGTAGCCTGTAAAAAGAACAGTGACAAGCTCCTTTATGTGTTTTTTTAAATGGTTATGTAGTCATTAAAATTCCAGGGACCTGAAGGCTGCTCGGGGTACATGCGGCACGGTGCGCTGCCTTACCCCGTCAGTTGGGCAAGGAGGCGGGAGGAAAGGCCAGATCCTCTGCTCACTGGTGTTGGAGGCAGCTGAGCAGCCAGAGACAGCTGGGAAAGGCTTGGGTGCAAATTTCATTTACAGTAAAGATAGGATGATCAATTATTTTAGGATGACCACTGCAATTGTAAATGGGGAAAAGGCACTTCTCAAGTTGTTTCATGACTCATAAAAGTTCCAGGCTTTTCCTTTATGGAAATCTGATCAGAAAGTTATGTTGGAAACCACTCCTACATCAAGGTTCTTAAATAATAAATATTATCTCTTATTAATCCATATTTTAGTTTAACTCAGGCTCATGGCAAGTTGCTTCCTCAGGGAATGCAGGATTCCATACAAAAAGGTGATGAGCCACAGTCCCCGAGGAATTAAATTGTGAAAACAATCTTGGTTTCATACATGCTAATATAGATCTGTTATTCCCTTTCCACATCTATCACAACACATTCTAAATTGTGGCTGATCTTTTATGCAGATAGCTGTCTTATTAGACATTGTGGCTGTATGTGCTAATGTCTCCATGGGTTTCTTGGGCATTTGCTACCTAACCATCAAAGCAGTGGAAATGAATGATGATCACTGCATCCCTCTGAAGAACAAAGAGGAGTGGAGGTTCTAGATGTGGGAGTCAGTGACGCCAAGCCATGCGGGCAAATGCAGGCATCTCTGTGGCTCATATTAAGTCAGGAAACAATTTTTGCCTGTGTTTTCTTCTTGTGCTTTATTGGCACTGCTAAAACTGCAAACATCTTTCACAGCTGACGTTTTGTTACAAAACATTAGTAGGCTATTGAAATTGTGAAAGGCAAGTCAAAACAGTCTCTAACAGTGGCATAAAAAAAGGCAAAAACTAGTTTTGCAGTGTAAAAATGTATCTGTTATCTCCTCAACTAGCTGAAAGTTCAAATGGTACTTTTATGTTTTTGTTACTATGATGTGAATGTTATGTGAGAAATACAACTTGGTCTAGAGAATAACTGGGAAGCGTAACAGAGGGGAAAAACACCCCCACGTCTTACAGTTCACTGCTTCGGAGTTTAACATAAAATGAGAGTATTTGCTGACTTAAAACAAAGTAATGTATAGAAACATTAGTACATTGTAATTGAGTTTTCAGTTTCAATTAAAAACTGATGGCAGACTTTTATACCTTGTTATTATTCCTGAATACCTTTTAAAAAACTTGCTGACTTTAGAGCACCGAAGTTCATTTTAGGGCATGTCACACACTTTAAATTAAGGAACCTGGGTTTGTCACTTACCATTAAATGCCAATAATTCTTATAGAATAGATAAATACAAAAGAGGAAACTCTGTGGTTTTAAAATGCATGAGTAACTGAAGGGATCATTCCTGCAGCTGTACTTTAAACCTTGTTTGAAGCTATGAAGGAAATCATGGTGGATGTTTAAGGTTGGGATGCTGACAGTAGCCCATTTAGCAGTGCCTTGGCATGCTTTTTGGCCAATGATTTGGTATCGCAGTGCCTTCAGGGGCTGTGCTTCCCAGACAGCGTGCCTTGGCAGAGCCGGGGGAAGCCTGTCTTTCTGTAACGCAGCTGGTTATGCCTAACAGAAAAGCAGAACACTTGCAGATACTCCAAGGCCATATGTGCACAATTTGCAGATGGTTTGTGGCTACCCGGGATGGTTCAGCCAAAGTTTGCCTTTGGCTCTGTGCTCACCAAGGCCAGTTGGGAAAAGGCAAGTGTTGACTGTTGTGTGTCTTCTGCACTCGAACAGTAAATCTGACACTTGTGGAAAATGCCAGTCCTCTTGTGAGTGCAGGGGTCGATGTTGGGATGCTTGTGTCGTAGAGGCGGTCAAATGGTGGGGCTTATCACTGTGATGAGTCATGTCTTCAGCCCAGCCAAAATGGTTGAAAACCAGTGTTTTGAGCAGCAAGCATGACTATAAAAGCCAGGGTTTTTTTGACTGGGGAGAAAGAGGTGAACTGAGCACGTCTGTAGAATCTTACTGTATCTTTTGAGTGGCAGCCCTGTAAGGGGATGAATAAGAGACCATAAGGTTTTGCATATTAAATGGGTGTATTGGGAGTTTGCTAGTACACTACTCAGATGGTGCTTGTTTAGTTATGTGGATCGTGTGGGAGCACCAATGTACCAAAAAGAGCATCTTTGGATGAATGATAGTGCAGGTCCCTGTGCAATCCTGGTGTCACCTGCTTGCTCGGTGCAACGTAAGAAGCCCATTCAGGAGTCAGGATGGTTGTTACCTGAATGCACTGAAGGTGATTTAAACTCTCAGTACCTTGGCTGAGTGGTGTAAAATGGGCACAGCTCCAGCTTGCATTTTTATTCTCCACTTTCTTTTCATTCGTAGATCTCTAGAGCCCATAGCAGGAAGGTAGGAGAGTGTGGGGTTGCTGTGGTTTAGAGGTCTGTTCCTCTCTTTTGCTCAGAGTGGCTGGAGGGCTGCGACTGCAAGTGGATTTCCTGAGTGACACCTGTAGATGCACATATGCCTAGTCCTGCCTCAGGCTCCTGGGCATAGTGTAAACGTGTTTGCCAACAATAGAAGCAGCTCACAATACTACATTCACTCCCAGTTTACTAAAGAAAAAAAATTATATAGCAATGTAATTCAGTGGTACCAAATGCTGAATTACAGTGCAATCAGTTTAAATATTTGCTTTTTTTTCCTTTTTTATTCATACTAACAGGCATTCTGTAATGTTAATAACCCATGCAATGGGGAAAAAGGTATGTTTAGAATTTATCTAATAGTCTTCAGAATAGTGATGATTAACTCCAGTGTCTCATTGTACTGTGGGAAGGCTTATGTCTGTGTATAATCATGTAAATGTTCCTTGTTACAGTTTTTTCTGATGTTATAAGTCATTGATTTCCTTAGTAGCTTGTTTAGGAATAATGTTGGTTTTTTTTTTTGTTTTTTTCTGATACTGACAGCGGTTTTTGGATTGAGAACAATGGGTAGAAAAGATGCCTCTACAGCAAGGACTCCTGTTGACCAGTACAGGAAACAAATAGGTAAGAGATCTGAAGAAAAGTTTGTGTGCTTAAAAACAATCTCTCTTTTTTTCAGCCAGACCAGCTGGTGTAACAAAATATATTATTCTGCTTCAAAAACTTTGTTTTGCTTGCTAGTGGTGCAAAATAATGCACACTCCAAGGAAACATTTTTTATATGCTATTGACTAATTAATTCAGCAAAACCTTTTATGAAGACAGTTTTGAATAACTTGATAAAGTCCATGTTCTGTGTTTGGAAATACTAGTGAAATACTGCAGTGCAGAAACTCCACGATGTTTCTGAACTGTTGGAACTTTCCTGATTTTCCTGTTTGTCTCTAGTTTAGAATATAGGCGTCTCTAACAGAATACCCTTTGTGCTTCTTAATAATTCTTGATACACTGAATGATACAGACCTTTACATTGTATAACTGCATTTATTTTCACGCTAATGCAATAGATTTAACATGTCAATTATTTTCCTAGGTCGTCTTCTGTTCTTACCTGTTGTATATGTAGGTAACTTGTATACAAAGTACACACATGTGCATAAACTAATGCACACATGTATACTCACACAGATACCTACACAGCAGACTCAGACCCCTGTTTCTTTGCTTAAATGCAAAGGTAAGTGACTTATTTTCAGAATACGGATATGAGGATTCTGCCTCTCTAGGTGTTAGATAATATTATATACCAGACATAATATTTTTAAAGTACATATATAATACGAAGTACCATAATCCATACTCAGTTATTTAAGTAAATGACTTTGTTTTACAGTTGCTAAGCGCCCACATCTGTGTTTAAATATGCAGAAAAATAGCAAGCGTCTGGGAAAAAATCTCATGGTGAAAGAGCTAGGGGTATGCAAACAATCTTATTTTTTATCATGTCTTAATTTTTTTAGTGCTGCCTTATTATTTTAGTATAACTATTTTAATGTTTTTTCTTCATTTAAATTTGAAAGTAAGGGACTGTTTTGTACTTTATTTGTTTTAGGTAGCTGTGGAATGCTCTATATTTCCTAATCTTGGGCAGTTTGTGTGGCTGGCTTTCTCAGTTCATTCTCTGAGATAGTTAGAAATGTGGCTGAAAACATCAGAGTATATTTAGGGATGGGAAGGAGATATACTAGAAAAATGTTTAAATAGATGGGCTCTCCCCTTTTGTACGATTTAGGTAGAAACTTGCATAGAAAACCTCACAAGGAAACTATTACCCAGCGGAAGATGACACCACAAATATTTCAACCAAATGGTTTTGGTGAGAAGTGGGAGCTCTGCAGCTCATCTTCAGGACAACTCGTCCTGTGTAACTGGCTGTTCGGAGAGAAGATAATTGCATCAGCTTTCTGGCATTTTCTCCACATGTTTTTCATCACAGTCACTTCTTTTTTAGCCACTTCCTTTAAGGTTGCTTTTCCTCCCTTTGTGAGGCACCTCAGGTGGTCACGGTTGTAGTTGTTTTTTGAAGTCCTCTGCAAGGTGAAAGAGACTGGTGGTCTCTAGCAGGATCCCTGGAGAGCAGGTTGGCCTGCTGGAGGACCAAGGGGGCATAAAGCTGCATCTGAGTCTGAGACTCACAAAATTACCTCCTGCTCTTCCACAGCTTGGGCTATTTCTTGCACATTACTACCACGTGGCACCGTGGTTGCACATCTTGCACCTTTGAGATGCCAGGACTGATCAGCTGTGACTTGAGCAGGGGAGAGAGCTCTGCTGTAGCAAGGGGGTGAGAGTATTTGTATCTCAGGGCCCAGCACTCAGAAGGATCCTGTTATGTTGCTGACTCTCTCGTTTTGTGCTAGCGTGTTGTATGAACCATTTGGCACCTTCCCTGTTAAACAATGCAGCACTGTAATCCATAGGGTACTGCAAAATACAGTGTCTGAGGGGGCTTATAATAAGCTCATTTTCCATAGATGCGATGCACTGCTCTTACCTTGGCAAAAGCAAGTGTTAAAAATTATTGTAGGGAAGAATCTCACACCAGCAGGCAAATAAGCTATATAACCTAGGAGGTGTTTCTGTGATTGTAGTATTCCTTAGAGGACAGAGAGCAAGAACTAAAATAGACTATCCACTGCCTTTTGCTCTGATGATGGTTGTTTCAGCTCCCACTCTGGTCATTCACTGATATAGCCATAGAGTTTGCCAATGGAAATTAGTTCTCTGATCTCACCACTGAACTTAATGAATGTGAGAGGGGGGAGTTGAAAATTATGGATATAGTTTTATACTATATTATTGTAGATATGTTTGAGATTTACATATAAGCATTTGAAGGTAGCTTTAGGCCTGGTAGCTGAGCTTAATGGAGCTATCTCTCCAATCTCGTTATGCCTTTAGGTATATTATGGGACAAATAGGTGAATTATTGACAAATATTGTCCAATAAATGACTATTCTTGCCATAATGAATAGGGAAGTCTTTCATTTTTTTGCCATTTTTTCTTAATTTTTTTCTTTTTATCTAGTTTTGAGTAAGTGATGATAATCTCTTTATCACAGAATCACAGGATGGCTGAGATTGGAAGGGACCTCTGGAGGTCATCTGGTCCAACCCCCTTGCTCAAGCAGGGTCACCTACAGCCAGTTGCCCAGGACAGTGTCCAGATGGTTTTTGAATATCTTCAAGTAGGGGAACTCCACAACCTCCCTCGACAACCTGGTCCAGTGTTTGACCAACCTCAACGTTTTTTCCTGTATGTGTTTTGGTGTGTGCCTTTTGCCTCTGGTCCTGTCACTGGGCACCACTGAGAAGAGCCTGGCACTGTCCTCTTTACGCCCTCCCTTCAGGTATTTACACACATTGATGAGGTCACCCCTGAGCCTCCTCTTCTCCTGGGTAAACAGTCCCAGGTGTCTCAGCTTTTTCTCACAGGAGAGATGCTCCAGATCCTTAATTTTAACTCTTCTTGATCTAATTAATTCTTAATGATCTGGTTTAATTCAGATACTTATTAGAAATTATACAGGATGAACTTAAACTTTTTTCTTAAAATCAAATAATCTCTAGATTTGGCAGCTTAGGTACTTTTGCAGGGATGCTTTTGTGTGAGCGTGTTCAGGAGATCTCCCAGAATACGGAACGCCATCATGCTCCGAGACTCTGTAGCTTATGGGAGGGTAATTGTTTGTAGGAGAACACAAACAGAAGGCTCCTCTGTTTTGGAGATGGGTGTGTGATCACACTTTTGCAGATAGGTTATGTCTAGAAAGAGTGGGCAAAGGGAGGCTGCATGGGTCTCTCAAAAAAAAAAAAAATCTAAAACATTTGAAGTTATAAATCCATGATTGGAGTAATTGCCATCCTTCCTTTCCAGGCGTTTGATATCTATGGATTCTTGAAAATATTGTGATGGATGCTGGCTGAACAGCTATCTTTTGCTGAATAATGGTGGGGTGTTATTTTTTAGTGCACAATTTAATGTTTTCTAGCCTTGCTGAATATAAGGTAACCAGATTGAAACGTTTTTAATACCTTTTTTCTTTGATGGAAAATGGCAGTCTTCAAGGAGCAACATGTCACAAAGTCATGTCAACTTCAACACAATTTTCAGTGAGATGTTTAGTGGAGTAATTTGAAATAAAAGCAGATTTTTAATTTCATTTTGTTCCAAGCTTTCTGTTTTGTTCTGAGTTTCCATACGGCATGCCACATGTTTGCCCTGTGCCACGGTTCAAGTTCATGTTGATCACTTCAGTTCAGCCGTTTGCCTTTTTCTCTCCTCCATGAGCACAGGATCGCTCGTGTCTTGTTTGCCAGTGTGCCGTTAGTGGTTGCTGCTTGCTCCAGTAGCATTTTTGGAGGATTCACCCGACAGAGATTGATACTGCTCTTCTCTGTCAGCTGGCTTTCAGCCATCTCTCCTGCCACCAGCCAAAATTTGTCTGTACTGCCTCTCGTTCAGCAAATGCTCCAGTATCCAACAGCGGCATTGCCTTTTCTGGGGGGAGAAGAGGCAGCCTTTTAGTTATCAGACCAAACTGGCACTGTCTTTGTGAAGACTGTCTTCAAGTGGGAACAACAGCAGCGACCTTTTCAAACTGGCTTAGACTGTGCCTGGATGAGGGAGGACGGTGCTGAGGGAATCTCTCCCCACTCAGTTCCCCATGAGCAGCTGATGCTCCAGAGGAGGCACGAGGAAAAGTAATTTTAATGCTCTTTATTCAGCACTCTCTCACATACCCAAATACATACCTGTAGTGCAGCAGCAAATGCGGCAGCTCTTCTGCATAGTGTTTCCTTCTCACTGCTGCTGTTTGTGCTGCTGTGCTTAATTTGCTGGGATCGAAGGAAAGGTGTGAGGCAGTATGCATCTTTCTGCATTTATGCAGCTTTGCTCCGCAAATGCTGTGAAAATAGCAACAGGTTTTGCACCATATTTGCTTTGTTTACTGTTATGTGTGCTTTAAGTTCCCAGAACAATTCCACATGTATATTTTCCATCCTTCTTCATCTGGTGTGTCGTTTGCTCGGCATGGAAGCCACAGGATTTGTGGGTAGTGTTCATGACTCGTGTGATTGCGGGATCCTAAGCAGGCATACTGAGAGGATTATAGCATAACTAAAACCTGGTCTACAAATCAGGAATAGACATACTTTTGGCTCCCATTACTATTGTGTTGCTGTAGCATAATTTTTCATGAGGAGAGGTTGTTTGCCAATCATTCAACCTCCAATTTGTAGACTCAAAGGTCTGCTTATTGTCTGCTCTGTATCCTCTGACTGGCCTGCTTGATCCTGTAGGGGTTGGAGCTTATATAGACATAGCCCAGGAGATCTCTGGAGTAAGCAAGGCTCCTCACGTCCCCTGGGAAGGAGTAAGAGTTATGAATGAAAATAAATTCTCCTTTTGTTTTGGAAAGCACAAGGTGTTAGGCTGAGCACAATGGCTCAGTGGTGGAGGTGGTGCTTGTTGGCATAGCAGAAGTGGAGTGATGGGGCTTGAAGGGGACTGGGTGGGAGTCCTGAGACCCCAGCTGTAGCAGCACAGGAGGGGAGAGAG